CATAAACGGGAACGTCATAACGTCATTTCTAACTTCACGATGTGCGTAGGAAATTCGACTTATTTGAGCTTTCTGATCCAAAAATTATACAGCGGAGAGGGTTTTGTACAATTAAGTCATCCCACACTGAAAAAAAAATAGTTAGCGTTGAGAACTATTTTGGTAAGTTCTCGCCAAGTAGAATCAAAATTAGGCTTCAGAACTAATTTATTGTACTGAAGCACCGATCAATTCGCTCCATACGCTGACTTGACTTTACTAGAGCACGAACCAGAATTGGAAAACAGCACTAACAGTAAAATCAGCGCTGTGGTGAAACAAATTCACCTTCGGGTCAAACTAATTCGCCCTCAACGCTAACTCCCACATTTTCCGTTACATTTATTTAGTTTCGAAAAAATGGCGTCGGTACAACAGCCTCAATCGCGTCAGCTCGTGAAAATCAATTAAAATGTGAAATTTCGGGCTCGTTCANTGAATATTACAGGGTGTCAAGTTTTTTTTTTTTTTTTCAGTTCGGGAAATCCTGATTTTTCCTGATTTTTAACTGCTAAACCCAGATTTCATAATTTTTCCAAATCCTGATCAAATCCTGATTCTTTGCGGAGAAAAATTACAATTTCGGCATATGCGTATGAGAAAGCATAAAAAAATCCGATCGGACGGCCGACTTTGCTCAAATCCTGATTTTACGACCGATTTTTCCTCAAATCCTGATGAAATCTGGTTTAAATCCTGATTGATCTCGGATCCTGATAGAATCGGGAAAATCCTGATGCTAGACATCCTGAATAATTTCTCTGTGAAAAAATAAAATGGCGGCGGAAATTTTGAAACGTCGCATGACGCTTAAGATACTTCGGCTGGAAGACGACGGAATGATGACCCATGGAGGTGACTCGACAATGGCGATGAGTGCATAAACGGGAACGTCATAACGTCATTTCTAACTTCACGATGTGCGTAGGAAATTCGACTTATTTGAGCTTTCTGATCCAAAAATTATACAGCGGAGAGGGTTTTGTACAATTAAGTCATCCCACTATCACAACCCCATGTGAAACTAATAAATACAGAGGAAGGGTATCGATATGGACCGTTTTTGGGCCCTCCCTAGCTAAATGTCCTCAATTCTACGATATTTCGCTCATTATAGCTCTATATTTTAGGGAACGCATCATGATTTGGTCATTTTGGGTCTTTTTCTTTAACTCTTATACTGGCCAAAAGATGGGTCTAAAGGCCGATTTTGGCAAGAAAAATGCGCCTTTGCGGCATTTGACCTGAAACCCGCATTTTCTTGACAAAATTGACTTTCAGACCCAGTGTAAAGGCAGCTGTAGACCCGAAAAGATAGAATTATGACCAAAGCATGTCATGATAACTTACGTAAAATATAGACCTTCGATGAGAAAAAAATCGTGGGGTGGGGGAAATTTAGGGTAGACCCCAAAACGACCTTTATCGATACTCCCCCTTTTTCTCACAATGTTAAATAAGGGGAGAGCTTTAGACTCCCTAGAAAAAAACTTTTCTCGGCGCTGCAGCGAAAGTTTACAATGACGGATCCACCATTTCTCACTAACGGACTTATCACAGAGTTTCCCGAATTCCGAAGCACAGCTTAGACGAAGACTCGTAATTAAGATGAGACGGATAAAATATATATTTTAAAAGAAAAGGCAGCTTCTTTCTCTGCGGGTAATTTCTATTTCAAACGCATTCGATTTACATGAAGGAAACAAAAATTTGGCCACAAAAACCGAACATTAATTCATAAGAAACAGCAATGTTTTTAGTGTAGATAGCCGTGCTTTTTTGGTCACACAAACTGAACTTCGGGTCAGATATGACTGGGGTCTTAGGTAAGGAATACGAACATTAGTACAGCTAAACTTCAGGAACCTAACCAGAACTTCGGTTCTTGAAGTTGAAGTTGGGAACGGAAAGCTCCGATTATCCGTAACTGAGCTTTGGATTCATGAATTTAATATTGAATTTTAATTATTGCAATGATTGAAATTATTGTTTTTAATACATTTCACTTAAAAATACCAGAGAGGAAATTTGATCTAAAATTAATAAGTATATAACTAGACCATAAGTCACAAAAAAGAAATCATGATCATAACTACTCATGTATAACAATAATTCTATGGAGCTATTGTCACCGAGACTGATAATAGTTCTCGTGCCAGTGTCAAATATAATTACGAGAATCATTACGAGACCGCTCAAACTATTGTCTTTTAATCAGTACAGAGATATGCCGTATTATCCTCTAATTTGTCTTACATTTCGGTATAGTGGACAAAAATTCTGACTGAACAGACTGAAACAAGATCAGAAGAGAAAAAGAAAACTCCCGAACAGTTAAATATTACCTTAAAACTAGGTTTCGAAAGAAGAAAAAAGTCTGAAAGCCGTTGCCATACTACTTCATAACATTATTTCAACTCTTGAAAATTTTTGGGGCTCCTGGCAAATTTTACTCATCATGAAAGGTTGGTAGCCGTAGCCATCTCTCGGCCAGAACTTTACTAGTTGAGCGATGACTTTATTATAACATGGGTGTTATGCAAGGTTGCATATTTTTTTAGAAGGCGACCATTGCACCCCCCATGAAAAATCCTATCTGAATTGTGATTTCGCGTTTTGTCGATGCTTGTCACAACATCTCTAAAACAGGGATATAATGTAATGCGACAGAATTTACACTCTTTTAAACATTTTGATATCAAAAAACAAATTTTTCACAATTGTGAATGTAAAATTTAATTGGGTGGGGGCATTTAATCGAAAGTTCGGTTCCTTTGTGTATCATTATTTGTCCGAATTCGTACATTAATTTGACTTTGATTGGAAGGCACTTTCAAACCTTTGGTGAATGGGATGATCGTATCGTTATAGTTCCCCGGTTCAAAAGTGGAAAGTCAAGTTGTGAAGAGCAAGAGTATTCAATCAGCAGACGCATTTTCTGAAACTCGATTTCCTCAAGAATTGAATCGTCAGTGCTGGGTTGAAATGCTTTAGCACAGGGGTGCTTCCATTCCGTCATTTTCTGTGGTTAGCTAATTCAGAAAATTTACCATTGCGAGGAGTATTTTAAAAGATGTCTTTACTGAATAGAATCATTACTTTGGAGCTCCGAGACTTTCATCATTTTTAGAGATTTGCGGGGCCAAATACCATGATTTTTGGCTATCGACACATAGCAGGTGACGATTTCTGAAAAGTTCATCGTCTCATAATTTTCAATGATAACCCACATTTGTTTTTTCCGAAGGAGCACACCCCTCAGCGAAGCGTCAGAGGGGGAGACCTTATAGTTCTCTACACAAATAATATCCAACGAAAAAATTGAGTCATCAAAACCTTTTCAGTTAAGTTTTCGGCCAAAATCCTAATCTGAGATGTCGAGACTTGGCCCGTAATTAAATTCAAGCAAGTGTCAATAGCCGTTTGGAACAGAAATGACTCAAGAAAATCGTTGATCATCAACTGAATATATGACGCTGTTGGAGAATCTCCGCCCTTGCCGAGTTCTCCCAGTAAATCGCAGTTTTCTCGACTAGTCGGACAAAACCCGGATTTTTTGGACGACTCGCTGGGCGTGGGTTTAAACAAGGGCGAATGACAGGATGTGAGGCTACTTGATAAAAAGGCTGCTCATGAGCCGATGTCGTTGTCACGAAAACAACAGACGCGCAATTGTTCGGAGGCTGTCCGAGCGCAACCTGAAAACTTTCTCTGGCCTCCGCACCGAAAGCTCGAATGACCCGAGTTGATCGCTCTAAAGTTTTCGGCGCCGACTAATAAGGAAACGGTGGAGGCGATTATATGAGGAAGTTGAGGGCTATAGAAAATTTTAAACCCCCTTTGTAAGTACTTTAAAGTCCTTATAAAATTAATTCATTAGAATACATTAGCATTCTGAATTGGTCAGGTCAACATCGCACCGTTGGCGGGACCTCTTTTAACACGATTGAGCAATACCGTTAATTTGGAAAACTGAATAAGAGATAATTCGGAAGCAATTAGTAGGATCAAATATAGAATCGATAAATTTAGACAGAATCAGTCTGACTGAATTTAACGCCGCCTCATTCCCTCTAAAGTTGTACTTTTAAACCAAACAACAGACGACCTTTAAACTTTCTAGGTATTTGCAATAAAATAAATTCACAAAATAAGTCATTATTTTGATTTTACACTGAAAAGAATATTTGATTTCTCGTGTTACTTTCGGTTAATACAGGAAAAGAAACACAAACCAACCCGAATATTGTGTTGATCTCGGTAAAGCTTGCGTTCAATTTAGTTAAAAAAAAAAAAAAATGACAAGATCGAGAGACCCCAGGTTCAACCAAAGGCTTGGGTTACTTTATGTTCCACTTCCCGGATTAACAAAAATTGTGGGTGATATTTTATCTTAGTATGGGTATTTTTGTCGTTAATAAAACATTACGGGATATCAGCGACGTCTAATGTAATTAGGATAATTTGGTTTTAAATCGTTCAAAGATACATCCATTATAAGAATCTCCTATAAGTATTGTCATAGATCAACGTTAACCTAGACTCTAAACAAGATTGCGTTACATTACAATGTGTATTCAAACAAGTTTTGGTAGTGTTAAAATCATTAATATATTAAAATTAGGAGCCACGATGGGATGAAATTTGAAGAACTGTAGAGGAACTATGGGTTAAAACTTCCAGACGTTCTATCAAATCATAACTCCGGCGAGTAAAATGCAAGTTTCTACTTTTGAATTATGAAGAATCTTTTAGAGCCTATTTTATTTGGATTCTGTCTTTGTAGATGTCACGCATTGACAAAATCGGTTATTTATCCTTAAGAGTTTTCTGACAGTGACAAAGAAATAAAATTATAATATAATTATTGATTAAAGAGGATTTACGTGAACGAGCGTCCGTGAACTTCTTGTGCGAAAAATAAGATTAAAAGTGTGGGCTTGGAAATGATGAAAACTTACCGAAGATATACTTTTTGAAGGTGAATGGTAACGGACTTTCTTCAAATAGACAGTATAAATGGCACCCTCAACTCTCTCTTCGCCCCAAAGTCTCCAGGTTGGCTGCTGAAACAAATATCAAGCCTGTTGATCATTTTTAAAAACGCAAAAGGTGACCTTTCAAAGGTCTAAAAACTTCGGCTCGTTGGGCGCTTCCAGCGAGCAGAAATTAATCACATGTGAGATTCGCTAATTATTCTTCGCGAGATTTGTTTACGAAATGTTTTCCTGTAAGATCCAGAATACATACGATGAAATTTCAGAACCAAGTATCTCGTTCACGTTGTTCAAAAATTGCAGCTTTTTTTTTTTTTTGGTTTGAGGTTGAACAAATCTACATCATTCCTTGAAGTTTTCACAGAATTTCCTTCGCACCACAGAGAGGAAAATTCATGGAAGTTTCCGAATATTGACGTTGAGCAGTTGTCAATTTAGCAAATAAAATATGACGGGAAGTTTGCAACTTCGCAAGCCGAAATAGTTTGGAGGTTTCACTATCGATATAGTGGCTGTTAACTGGATTGCATTTTGCAAAAAGGAACCACTAGCATTGCAATGTTGCTAAGATTGTGCAACTTCTTTTGTCTTGGAGGAAAAATCCGATTATCCATTAATAGTTTCTATTTAACTCGCTAAAAACTGTGAATTTAAGACAAAAATTACCATCTAAATTTCATAGTTTTTCACGATTTCCGCAAATCCGATTATCCATTAATAGTTTCTATTTAACTCGCTAAAAACTGTGAATTTAAGACAAAAATTACCATCTAAATTTCATAGTTTTTCACGATTTCCGCAATTTTATTGCAAAGGATGAAGTTGCACGATCTTAGCATCATTGCAATGCTGGTGGTTCCTTTTTGCAAAATGCAATCCAACAATTGGCCATTACTAAATCTGATACAAGGATACAATGACTGATTGACTGCTTTAAAACCTTATAAAGATCAATTGAGAAATTTACCAATTTTCCTTAAAGAGATTTGTTTGCGGAATATTTTCTTGCAAGAACCAGGATATTTTCTCGACTAATTTTTATTCCGGAACCATAGTGGCTGAGCACTAAGCGACCAAACCAATGGTCACACCTCGTCGCTCCTCTGACGTAAGCGCGTATCTCGATTCCTACGTGAGCCCTGCGCTCCGTATAACACGATGCTTTCGAAGGCTCAAGTGAAAACTAAAATACGCCCTTACGTCAGAGGAGCGACGACCTAAGAAACTTAAATTAATAAATAAATACACAAAATTCTTCGAAAACTTTTGTAATCTTTTAAACTTTGCGTGAGAATAAAAGAAGATACAGAAAACGGAAGTGGGAACGGCGCCGGTCGGATGGAATTTGATTGCTCGGCGAACTCATGGGTCTGCGCGACGACAAGTCGACGACCGACTAAGCAGCCGTGAGAGTGAAATCGGCCGAGAGATGAACCCAAAAAAAACAAATTAGGAACTCTCGAGAAAATAAAACGCGGGGAGATCGTCAAATTACAGAACATTAGATTTTGCAGTCGCGTAGGAGGAAAGCACGGCTGCAAGGCTGCACTGCTGTTCGGGTAGAAAATGTGGAAACAATCCGTTTTGAGGCTGTGCGAACCGTTCCTTTTCTCACGCATGCGCTCACCAGAGTCACACTAGCACAGGTTCCAGATGCCAGATTTGCCTTGTGAAATATTTCACTTGAAAATGAGCTAGAGGCAGGGAAGTACTGAAACTAAAAGTCTTTGAGTCTCAAAAAATGTCTGCTACCTTGAAAATTTGAATAAATGAAACATGCCTATACCTATTTCTTCGAAAATTCATTGAATAAATTAACGTGCCTGCAATTTTTTTCTTGTACGATTAAAGTTGCTAACCACAACTATTTCGACTTTTCTATTAGTTACTTACAGCAAGAAGTCATACAAAGCCTTCTCCGATTATTATTAAACGCATAAGGGGAAGAAAATGCCTCGCAGATACAAAAAAAATTATGATTGCACTACATTTTGCAATTAGAAAACACTACTTCTGACTCATTTCAGGATCCACGTGCTGTTACTTAGGTTCCCTAAGCAGATGTGTGCGCTTTCACAAATGGGTCAAAAATCGTGGTTCTATAAAGTGAAAGGCAGAAGGCTGTTTAGAGGGAGAGAGGGATTAATTTTTTGTTTTCTTGTATTAGTGTTGTTCAACATCATTCACTTGGGTAATAAAAGCCTACTGAGTGCATTGGTGTGTGAAACATTTTGAAAGTGAATTTTGCCTCTGTATGGTATGCAGAAGCCCTGTGAATTATCTTTTTTGTAAAAATTTGGTCAAATTATGTACGAAGGTAAGAATCTAGGCGTGATTTAATGCATTTAGAATCATAGTTGGCCGAATCCCTCACAAACTTTATATAAAAGGGTCGTTGACCCATCTTTCCATCAATTTTGATAGAGGAAAATTACGTTTCAAGGACATGAAACAGTTTTAACATTATGATGTTTATTGCCACAAAATCAGGACCCCTGTGTTTTTTTCGCGTAGAACTTTTAGAACTCATGACGCTGGGAAACGGAAAATTTGTTGAAAGTTGTTTTATCATGCAGTCAAATTTTCTAAATAATTTAACTCTTCCATAACTGTGGAAATAAATGAGGATAATTTTTCTTTCGTACTACCTCCGTGCCAGGAATAATCCTCGATAAAACTGTAACTAGGAAAATGATAGGTCTCAGAGTGATTCAACACACTGCGAAATTAAATCGCCCATGGCGAAGACGGATGATGAATCATTAATGGATAGAATTACTGCACGTGCAATGTGCACAGGAGTTGATAAAATACGTAAATGGGAGACACGTCTAAGCAAGGTTAATTCGTAGACTAATAATGCCAGACACATTATAGAAATCATGTTAAATTTAGGTCCTCAGGAACAGACCCACAATTAACTGATATGAAGGCTGCAAAATACAGATAAAATCTCACCGGAATCAATAAAATCCTTCTCAGAGAGAACAACATACTCCAGCATAATTTCAGCCGAGAAAACACATAATAATGAAAACTATGATAAATCCACGTTGGACTAGCTTATGAGGAGCATTTAATTTTTTGACACCGAAAAACATAGCCCCGATTTAGAAAGGAGTGAAATACATTAAAAATGTGCAGTGCCACAGAACGGGAGAACCGCCCGCAAAAGTAAAGGAATCTACAATGACTCTTCTAAGACGATACGGCAAATTGCTGAGGACCAATTAGCCGCGTAATTGATTTCGATTACATATCCTAATCATCGACCGATATAACCGAAGGTGTTAACCCGCTGCCACAAAATATAAGGTGGAGCACGGCATGCCACGATGCCACGTTAGAATAACTGTTGCAGCGAAGCTTTTCTTCTTCGTCAATTCATAGAAGGAAATACATTATGAGTAAAGATATATATTTTTTTTCTAGGTACGATCATAATATTATTTTGGACTTTTTCGGTATGAACGACACCGGTCGAACAGCAACTTTTTCCCCTCCTTACAGTTGTGGAACGACTCTCGATTCCAATCGATGATTTAAACTTTCTGCCTATACTTAGTGACTTGACTATTGGAAGGAAACGCCTACGTTAAGGCGAGAGTTTCCCTATACATCGGGCTGTATTGCGTGGATCCGATGTGGCAGGAGGCCGCCTTCCATTCTTCGCTTATCCTACAAATGTATCTCTCAGGCACGAATAGTTTCTGGACAAATTATAATGCTCAGCATATCACTACATCAAAACTAAAGTACACAAAAGGTACTTACATCCGACGCATGTGTGCACCTATTCGTGCGTAGTGGATGTTTTTATGGTATAAACGAAGGATTGAAAACGTTTCGTCATTTAGGATTCTCGCAGTATACAGTCCGCTGCTCCCATGCCGTGAGTGAAGGGGTGAATAGCGCGAGTGCCGGGAGAATTAAAACGCCTTCAATTTTGTACGTATGCAACACGGACATCCGTTGAGCTCGAATAGTTGCATCTAGGCCTTGAAATGAAATTCGCATGGTGTTCGTTGCGTAAGCTACTAACAGAGATCAGTGGCGAGGCGTGAATGATCGATTATCCATATTTCCCCATTTGAAGCCATGGTAAAGGTATTATTAAGCGAACACCCTACATATCGATCCTTTTCCATAGGTTTAAATGGCAGATCAATCGATGTATCGCAAAGCACGCCACGCCACTGACAGAGATTGCTTTGCTTCTTTCTCTAACAATTCAACTTAATTTCATTGTCAGTGCCACCGCCGTTGAAGGAAACCATTCCAGATTATTATAGGGCATGGTCGATTTTCCGAAAAATGCTTCGTTTTTTTCTTCCAAATATTTCAAAAAATTTTGAAAACTTTATCTAGCGCATGATTTTAATCGTTTTCAAGCTTTTGATTCCTTCTTATTTCTTTTGTTTTGCAAACAAAAACAAGATCTCTGAATCGATGGAGATCTTACTTACGTACGGAAAGGTTTCAATAGTTCGCGGTATTGTTCATTTATTCAGGTTAAGTTTTCTGGAGACTCTCTGGGTGAACCTGACTGTCAGACACTAAATTAAATTGTCCGCAGACGCAGAAAATTTGAAAAGCGCGTGCAACTACGCAGAATGAGCGCTAAGTAGCAGACATTCGACTTTTTTCAAACATGCATTCATGATTACGTAATTTTCGTGCATTTCACAGCACTGGAAAAAAAACCACATTGGATCAATAGTCCAGACTCTTAAAAACATCGACAACAAAAATACTCTTGATTCAATATGATTTAAGCTTCAATCAAGAACCAAGCGTCTTAATTTGAGCGGATTTACTTTTGATTTAAGCTTAAATCTGATTGAATCAAGAGCCCTTTTTCTTGTCAATGTTTTCAAGAGTCTGGACTCTAGATCCAATGTGTTTTTTTTCCAGTGAGGAAGAAAGTCTATTTAATTGATGGTATCTCTTGCGTCCAACACTCATTGACAATTATGACTTTCAAGAATTACCTAAAACAATTATTTTCGCTGAAGGAAGAGCCATTGGTTGTTGAAAAAGGAAGAAACAATAACTACACCCATCCGTAG